TCAGCAGGCCCTGGCTCTGAAACAACTCAGTCTGAACTCAATTAAATCAATTAAATTCACCCAAATACGGTCCAAACATAAAATAATTACATGCAAAACCACTTCAAATATTCAATTTTAACAGTTTCAAAAACAACAGTCAATCCAAACATCCAGAAAGTCCAGCAAGAAGTTAATTAAAAAACGAAAAAGTAAAGCGCAAAGAATCCCGTTGAAACAAAACAAACAGATTTAAACCCATCACTTGGCCAAAAAGCAGCTGCATCACTTTTACCACCGCCGGACTGTTTAATGGGATTAATCTGTTTCTCTGAGTTTAATCTAAGAGCCAAACTTCCTTCAAGCCCATGTTTCAGTTTTAAGGCGCTTCCAGTCCATCAAGATAACAGCTGGACAGGAGAACTCATGGCGACCGTAAATTACAATTATAACTTGTAATTAACTTTAAAGGTTCAGATGAAACAGTGTGAAGGCTTTTTATTTAGGCTTTTCCTGCCGTAGTTGGTTATTTAACTACTGAAATAAAAAGTGCCAGCGCATCACGTTTCTTCAGCTCAGCAAATTCAAACTTTGCTTTTTATTTCCCATCATAAGCAGCCAAAGCTGATCTCATGCTCAACAACAACACATTTCAGCTTCACTTCGCTTTGAAAAACCTCAGTCACTCACCTGAAGTCGGCCAACAGCTGCTGGTCCGGAGGAGCTCAGTTCATAACCGAACCGAGGATCAAACGGTTCGGTTCCGATTCTAAAGAACCTCGGTGTCAAAGGAGCTGCGAGTCCGAGAAAAAACATTAAGAAGTGAAAAGAAACAGAGCCGAGCATCAACCGGGGGAGGAACCAGGGAGGACGAGGAAGAGGAGGAGGAGGAAGAGGAGGGGGAGGAGGAGAAAGAGGAGCAGGAGGATGAAGAGTAGGAGGAAGAGGAGGAAGAGCAGGAGGAGGAAGAGTAGGAGGAGGAGGAGGAAGAGCAGGAGGAGGAAGAGTAGGAGGAGGAGGAGGGAGGAGGAGGAGGAAGAGCAGGAGAAGGAAGAGGGGGAGGAGGAGAAAGACGAGGAGGAGCAGGAGGAAGAGGAAGAGGAGCAGGAGGAAGAGGAAGAGCAGGAGGAGGAGGAGGTATTTTTGCTTTTGGAAAAATATTTTTATATTTTTCACTTTTGAAAAATTCAAAAATGTTCCACCCTTGAAACTCAGAAATTTTTATTTTTTTCTAACAAATTTTGGACTTTTAAACTCATTTTAGTTTGAGAAAAAAAATTACAAAAAAACATGGAATTTTTAAGTTCATAAAGCAAAAAAAAAAAAAACTTGACAATAAACACATTTTCTAAAGAAAAAAAACAAAAACAAAAACAAACAACAACAAACAAGAAAATCTTTGAAGTTATGAAATTGAGAATTATTACCTTTGGAAACTCTGAAATTTCTATTTTTTTTCATTTCCAGCAATTTTTTTACTTTTCAATTTAAGAAATTTAGTTGATTTTTCTAGAAAATCTATTTTTCTAACAAATGTTCAACTTTTCAAACTGAGATATTTTCTTGTTTTCTGTAGGAAATCTCTAGGATTCATTTCAAAATTTCTGATTTTTTTGCATAATTTGCTCCTGTTTTCATTCTTTATGATTTGCTTTGTCCGTCGCAGGTTTGCTGCTCTCCTGCCGGGTCGGATCTTCTGTGAGGTCCTGAGTTTATGTTCTTGTCACATTGCAGTTTAACTGAACTCTGGATTTATGTCTCCATGTTTCCTGCTGCTGTTGGCTTTGAATAAACTTTATTAAACTTCACCTGAAGTCTGTGGCGTCTTTATGGTTCTTTGGTCGTCTCTGCTGACCGGCCCAAACTCAACGGCAAGAAACATCAGCAGCTGAACTATTTTTCACATTTTATGACAGAAATACAAATTATGGGCTGCTGGGATTTTATATGATGGAAATTCAGCAATTTGTGCAGAATTTGAATTAAAAGAACATAAAGTTTCCAACATTTCATTTGACATTTAACAACGGAAATGTTTAACTCAGTGTTTTCATGTTGCCCTGGTTTAAGGTGGACAGAGTCTAGTTGCAGTTTTCTAGATCATCCAAAACATCAGGATCAAATCATAACAGAAAAATACAGAGATGTCCTGAACAGACATGTCTTTGAAGGCATCATCGCTTTCTCTAAAGGCTTTTTTTTATCTCTAAAACCAAAAACTGAGCCTTGTCTTTTTAACTGGAAACTTTATCTAACTGGGATTGATTTTTTTCCCCACTGGACTCCCAGATCAACAGCTCAGTTTAACTGGGACTCCATGCTATGAATCCAATTCAGTGTTATTCAGTGGGGTCCCTGGCACCAGGGGGCGCTGTGGGGGCCTCAGAAAATTAAAGAGAAAACAATAAAAGAAAAGCTCAAATAATTACAAAAAATGTTATCCCTTAAATTGTTTTATCTTAAAAATTTCAGCAAATTTTAGTTTTTTTATTTAATATTTTTCAAAATATAATATAATTTATTTGAACCTTATTTCTGAAGCTCATTTTGTGGCTCAAACCAGCAAGAAATGGAAAAGTTTCTGACAAGAAAAACACCAAATTAACCTTCCATAAAAATAAAAAATACAAGAACTGCTGAAATAAAATAAAACTTTATGCCATAATAATAATAATAATAATAATAATAATAATAATAATAATAATAATGATAATAATAAAGTTTCCTTCCACAAAACTCTCAAATCAGATGGTATGAGGCAACATTTGTGCTAATTAATTGTAATAATTATTGAAACATTATAGAGGTTGATATTTGTTTACATATTTTTTAGCGTTTTGTAGGTTTAGTTTAATCCCCTCTAATGTTAAAATGTTTTTTCTTATCTGCTCTCAGTCTGGAGATTTTTTATTGACTGAGTCAAAACCAACGAATCGTTTGAAGCGTTTATGTTCTTTACCCAGACGGTGCGACAGACGTCACTGACATGGTGGGCCAGCTTCGATAACGCGCACTTCCCTTCGTGCAACCAGTCAGGAGGAAACATCCTCCCAGTATGGACACCAGTTCAGGAGGAAACTGGTCGGTTTCCTGTCAGACACCCAGTACAACCCAACAGGGTTAACTGGTCTCAGAGACGTTCTCCCACAGCTGAGCCATTCTGGGTGTAGCTGTCTTCATTCCTAACGTTCAGATTAGCTCGATTTCCTAATCCTGGAAACATTTCAGCCTGACTGGTTTCTGCTGGTTGAGCAGATAAACACGGTCGACTTTCCAACTCAAAAAAACAAAAAAACAAAAAACATTTAAAGCTGGAGTAACTTTGTTTTTTGGGGGGTTTTTCACATATTTGCTGAAACTGTCATAATGTGAGACAGACAATCTGAAAAAGTCAAGCTCTCTTCATTCTCCCAATACTAACTTGAAACAACCAATCAGAACAAGGAGGCGGGCCTTAACGCTGCTAGTCATCCTCCTCTTTTCCCCTCCTTGCTAAACCCAGTTAGCATAGCAACCGATAATGGCAGGTACATTTGGCTGTAAGTTGTCTAATGACAAACCGCTAATGACAAACTCAGCAGCAGGTATGTGATATTGATTGACAGCGCTAATCCAGCTCATTAGTGCTAACTCATCCTGCTACAGCTAGGCTGTCACGAATGCTAAAATCCAGTCAGGGTATTCCCACCGATGATGCTGCATAAATGGTTTCAATGCAACTGTAATTTGTTTCTTCACTAAAAGCACATTTAGTAGCACATACAAGAGAATGACTGACAGCGCTAAGCCCCTCCTCCTGGCTCTGATTGGTTGTTTTTGGAAGAATTTATTTCTTCAGACGGTAATAACAGCCCAGGGAGGAGATGGGAGAGATTGATTTTTTCATAAATTATATGTATCATAAAATACTGTTTTATACAAATATGTAAAAATATATGCATATATTATTGCAGCTTCAACCCTTATAATCTGTTGTTTTCTTCGATGAGTTTTATCTACAATGAACCATTATATTTATTTTCTTGAGAAATCACAAAATGCTTTTGGTGCATCTCAAATAATCTCACCAGAACAAAGCAGGTGGATGAGCTGGAATGTTTTCAGTAAAACAGTAAAAAACAACTTTTTATGTGTATTTTGACGCTTTATGGCAGTCAATAGTGATCTATTTTCATTGTCAGATGAATCAGCTCCACATCTGTTGTGCTTTTCTTTCTCTCTGTTTGGTGGGAAATGCTGCCACCTGCTGACAATTTGTTGTAAGATCAAAAACTTCTTTCACCTGTCTTCCATCCATCATCCATCCATCATCCATCATCCATCCATCCATCCATCCATCCATTCTCTAACACCCTGGTCCACAGTGGGGTCCTGATGGGTTCTGGTGTCTCGTTAAAGTGAGTTTTTCCAAGTTTCTTCTCAAAAATGTCTGAGTTAATATCTTGCTGTGAAATATTTGAAGTTTGATATTTTTTTTATTTAGCATAGAAATGCACCACAAACCTTTTTTAGTGAACATTTTTGTCTTTATGGCATAATCCGGTAAAATAAACCGAATTAATTTTGTAAATTTACTGTGTAACTTTACAAACGACATCCCATAATATTAATATGAGTTTCATAAATTTAATGTTGGAACAAATTTATTTAGAAAATTGTTTTAATTCTTGTTTTCAGATTGCTAAAATCTGCACATAACTTTATTCTTTTATGTAGCTGCATCCATTCATCAATACTACTTTTTAAAAAATTAAATACATTTTATCATCAGTTACTCAGTACTTGAGTTACCTTTTCTTATATTCAATAATATTCACATATATTCAGATATTTTTGTCATTAAATATTTTGAACGGCCAGTTTTTACCGTTAATTGACTATAATTTTTGGCACATTTGGACAAATCTCTCTTCCTTCTCCATTTGGGATCGTTTATCGTGAATTCCAGTAGGGGGCGGTAAAGCTTCCCGGCGATTGAAGAAGAAGAAATGTACTTCCGGTTTCATTCGGGATACACGTGGGTCTTTCCGGGCCACCGGGTGAGGAAACTTCAACAAAAATAGACGAGAAGAAGAGAAAAGGTTCAACTTTTCTTCTGCTTTTCAACACGAACCGGTTTCATTGTCGAGTTTTAAAGCAGAGAAATGATTTAATGCAGTTTATTACGGACATGTTTGGATGACGTCAGTCATTCATATTTTAGGCTGAAGCTCTGAGTTCATCCCTGAAACTCAGTTCACCGGATCTAAAGTTACATCTAATGATTCGTGTGAAGATTCATTAATAACTGAATGACAACCTGAACAACGATTTTAGAAATATGACTAGTAGAAATGACTCGATCTGCATGTTTACATGGTCTTTTCTTAATTTTAGCTGAATCTCCAGACTGAATAGTAAAATTGTTTCTGAATCAAATCGCTTGATGCTGAAATATTTGTCTGTGTGCAAAAGTTTGAAAACTTACCTAGAAAACGGTTGGATTTTCCTGTGTCGATGTCAATATTGGTGCCAGAAATGTTCTGATTGCTGTTTGTTTCTGCAGGATCTAACTGACCAGACTAAATCAGGTGCAGTTTCAGCTGTGAATGTGTTTAATTGGTTGGTTTCTCCAGCTGACCGTCCCGATTCCTCGCTCAGATGGCCAAAGCTGAGCAGGACAAAAGCCGAGGGTTGAAGTTTGCAGAGCAGCTTCTCCTGAGTCACGGCTGGGAGCGCGGTGAGAGCCACGTCCAAACCATCAAAACCCATCAAAAACCAGTCTGCAGTCTGGTCCTTACTGGGTCTGCTCTCTCTCCAGGGAAGGGACTCGGCCGAGCGGAGAACGGCATATCAGAGGCCATCAAGGTCAAGGTCAAATGTGACAAAGGAGGGGTGAGTCGCCCGGCAAACTGATTAAACATCTGCAGGAATCAGAGCCAGGAGCTTCGTTTGTTCCTTCAGATCGGCCACAGAGAAGGAGAGCAGTTCAGCTTCCACTGGTGGGATCACGTCTTCAATAAAGCCTCGTCCAGTCTGCAGGTGGAGGCCGGCCAGGTGGGTCAAAGGTCACACATCGAGTCACGACAAGTTCCCCCGGTGTCCTCGAAGGAGCGCCGTAGATTTCTGAGATTATTCATGTTTTATCCCCATCAGCTGCTGAAGTGTGGATGAAAACCTCAACTCAGTATAATTAAACATTTTTTTACAACGATAAAGCAATAAAGCTGAAAACTTCCACCAAAAATCACAAACATTTTCTAAATGTAAGTTTGAAAAATCATAAATTTGCTTTAAAAAAAGTTAAATATTTTCATCTTATGAAACTGAAATGTCAATGTTTTTTTTTTTTTGAAAATTTTATTAAGGATTTTATTTTTCCTAGATGAGTCGTCCTATGAGTCGTCATATTTTGCTTCCAACTCGAGCCTGAAAACGTTTCTGTTTCCTTAAGGATGGAATCAAATTAAAAAAGACGCCTGAGGAAGGTGAGGAAGAGGAGGGAGCGATCTCCAACAAAAAACCTCGAAAATCCCTGCAGAACAAATCCAAACTGTACGGCCGCTTTGTGAAGGTAAAGGTTCTGTCTTTGGGGCGGCGCATCGGGGTCGTAGGTCAACGTTAGAGGGAAAAACGTCTCGGTCTGTTGCAGTCGGCCACGCTGCTGTCCGGTCAGGAGGAGCCGGAGCCGAAGGCCCCGAGTTCAGACAGCAGCAGCTCAGATGAGGAAGAGGAGCAGAAACTGGATCTGTCCAGCACCACCAGGTAAAGTTTTTATCAGCACTGAGTGCCAGTTTGTTTCCAGTTCATGTGGAAACTTAATGAATTACTTTTTTCTTCAGAATTTGACACCCAACTCTGAACAATAACAACAATAAAGAAGCTTTTTCCCAAAACGCTGTTTTCATCTTTCCCTTCATTCTGACTGGTTTCCAGTTCCTGCTGCTGAATCAGCAACATTTCAACCAGTCTGAGTAGAACAGTTTAAAATCCAGACATAAAAAAAGAAACGAAAATCTGAAACAGGAAAAACCCATCATGGGTTTGTTTCAAGTTTAAAGGGAAAACATTCATTGAATTTGTTCTCTGGAACTGGGCTGTAAAACCATAAAACCCAGAAATGCATTTTTATTTATGGGTTTTAGTTTTGATTCTAATTATTCATATTTCAAGTTTTCAGATTGAAATCTAACTTTTTTCTTTTCTTCAGACTTTCAGACGCTGATCTGATGAAGGTTTGTGGAGGACGAACGGCTCACAAGTGAGTTGAAAATGTAAACAAAATGGATCAAAGCCTGAAGAATACGGCGGCGTTTTAGACAGAAAAAGTGAATTTTCATCAAAAAACTCAGAAATGTTTACATTTCTCAAATTTCTCAAAAAATAAAAACTTGGAAATTTCTGAATATTTAGAAAATTTTCAGACTTTCCGGTTTTTTCTAGAAAATTTCAGAGATTAATTTGGAAATGTGTGTTTTTTGTTCTCCTTGTAAATGTAACACGCCGCCATAAACGTTTCTTTATGAATCCTGTGGTTGTTCTGCTATTAGGGGCGCGCGGCACGGTCTGTCCATGAGCGCCAAGCTGGCCAGACTGGAGCAGCAGGAAGCAGAGTTCCTGACCAAATATGGAAAAAAGAACCAAACAGGAAGTTCTCCAGTTGTTCGTGACACAGTGACTCATCCGGAGGAGACGAGCCACAGGAAGAAGAAGAAGAAGAAGAAGAAGAAGAAGAAATGCACAGAGAGCTGTGCTGAACTGAACCGTGATGAAAGTCCTGAAGCAGGTTTTCAACCAGAGAAGAAGAAAAAGAGGAGGAAAGATAAAACGGAGGGAGAAAAAGAGACAGAAGAAGAAGAACTGATTGTTGGAGGAAACATTGAGGATCAGAAAGAAGATGGAGGAAATCCATCTGCAGAGGAAACTGAGCCGCTTCCCTCCAACTGCAACAGGAAGAAGAAGAAGAAATCTGCTCCGCATGATGCTGACCCTGCAGAAACTGGGCGGAGTCCTGGACAATCCAGCCAATCAGATCGCAGATCAAAGCAGGAAGCAGAGGTTACCATGGCACCAGAGAAGCAGAAAAGGAAAAAAAGCAGAAAGGACAAATTGGTGATGGAGAAACTAGCCGACGAAGAGGAGCTTCCTTCAAAGAAGAAGAAGAAGAAGAGCGATGGTGGATCAAAGTGAGGCGCTGAAACTACAGTCCGGTTCTGATACCTGAACCCGACCCAATCTAACAGCTGCTAGGTTGGGTCGGGTTCAGGTATCAAAACCTTCAGAACCCGTTTTCCTGTTTTTATCTCTGCTGGTAGAAAGTGAAGCTGCTTTTCTGTGCAGGACGATTAATTTTTAACGAACCGTCAGAATGAAATCTGGAGTAAATGTCAATGAAAACAGAATTATTCTGATGGAAACGTCGAGAAAAATGTATGAATTTATGAAATAATAAAAACTTTCTCATGTAATTATCTCACAAAGCATCAATAATTTATAAAACCTAATTTATTTTACCAACATTTCCAGCCAACAATTATTAATAAGATTGATTATAAGATATGATCAACTGGATTCATGAAAACAGTTTTGTTGTTTATTCAGGTTGAGCTGCAGTTTCTGCACAACTGGAATAAAAAATGATCTACAATCTCCATTAATCTGTTCTGGTCTGCAAGCAGCATTTAAATCTGAAGCAAACAGCTGAAGCACCGAGTTCCTTTAAACTCCAGACAAATCGTTACTTTTCTATTGTTTGATTGTGTCTTTGACTCCATTTTTATGTTTTTATGATTAAACCACTTTGAACTGCTTCCATGCTCTGTTTAGTGATTCAGGTTATTTTTATCTTTAATGAATAAAAATATTCAAATGTTTTTGGTTTTTATTGAACTCAAAAAAGAAATCCTCCAGGTTTCACAAACACAGTAATCTGAGACTTAAAGTAGATGAATTATCGGAAAGCAGTAAAACTATTTGCATCAGTTCAAGGCAACGTTAAACTGTTATATTCTGGCCTGGAAGCTGCAAATATTTCCTTAAGGTTATGAAATAAAGACAATTTGAGTAAGAATTGTGTCTTAAAATCAGATAGTTTCACTGGAGTCAAAGTTTTTCTTCTTTTTGTTTCTGTCTGGTAAAATAACCAGGTTTACTTCCATCAACATCTGCAAGCAAACATTTGTGAATTACAAGCTGTTTGAGTCGGTGCTGCTTATTTGGGCCACACCATGACGTTCCCCTCACACATGAATTTGTTTCTGCTAGAATATCCTGCTGCGTTCCAGTTCTGGATCAGATTCCCCTCAAACGTCATCAGTCCCCGTTCTGTCCAGTAGCTGCAAACACACACACACACACACACACACACACACCCACACACACACACACACACACACACACACACACACACACACCCACACACACACAACACTGCTCAATTTACTGAAAAACACACACACGAAACTCACAGATAAAATAAAACACGTTGAAACCGTCGGAGTCTCACATGAAACATTTTTGGTGTATATTTTGTTTTGTATTTCCCTACAAAAATGAGGAACTGGTGAAAGACAATATGTGATTTGTGATCGTTTTAGAAAAACACTAAATATTAAATTGTTCTCAGCTTTTTCTAACAATTAAAAAGCAAACAAACACCAAAAGTGAAGCATTTCTTACCCAAAAGGGTTTGAAGCTGACCAGTAGAACTGGCAGGACAACTGGTACCAGCAGCCGCTGTAAGACTTCAGATGATTCTTGAGGAATTCCTGAAAGTTCATAAAGATTCAGATAATTAAAAGTTATTTCACTTTTTTTCCTCACGTTAAAGTCCTGAAGCTGCAGTCAGAAACTTTTATTAAAATATTTTTCCATGTTTGCTGAAACTGCAACTAAGTTGTGACATTTTGTTATGAGTTTTCCCAGCACCAACCAACCAATCAGAGCCACGAGGCGGGTCTTAGCGCTGTCAATCACTCTTGTGTACCCTTCTTCCTGGTAGCAGAGAATGCTCTGAATGCTAAAGGTAGCTGGCATAGCCACCAATGACAGCATAAAAACTGTTTTCCTGTAAAGGTAAGTTGTTTCTCTAATATTAGCACATTTAGCAGCACATTCATGAAAGTGATTGACAGCACTAAGACCTGCCAGCTGTTTCTGATTGGTTGGTTGTTCTTTTCTTAAGAGCAGCTCAAGTAGGAGGTGGAGGAGATTAAACTGTCACATCAGGCCTGTTTTAATAAATATGTAAAGATCTTTTTTTTTAATAAAATTTACATGCTGCACCTTTTCCTGCAGATTATCAACAAGAACCAGATCAGCTGCTTTACTGCGGCAGAACTCCCGGGCTTTGCTCCAGGTCTCACAGTAAGCCTCATAAAACAGGTAGCACTTTCCCTGGAACTGGATCCAGTTGGTCTGGCAGGGCTGGCACTCTGCAGTTATGGAGAAAAACAAACAAATCTGCTTTAAAAAAGGAGCAAATTTCAATCTACAATCTACAAATTTTGAGATGAATCTCAGAAATTTGCTGGAAAAATGGTGGCAATTTCTGTTATTGAAAAATTGACAATTTGCTGGAAAGAAACTCCAAAATTTTAAGATGAATTTCAGAAATTTTCTAGAAAAAACTTGGAAATTTCTGAGTTTGAAGATCAAAAATGTTATAGAAAAAAATCTGAAATTTTGAGTTTAATCCCTGGAACATTAAAGAGAAAACATTAAAATTTCTCAGTTTCAAAAGTAATTTTTTTAACTCTTCTAACTCAGAAGTTTTTTTTTTTCTATTTTGGGCCACAATGTGAGGTTCTAAATGTTTAACTTATAGGAACAGTTTCTGTTACTTGTGATAATGAAGTAATATTAGATAGAAACATCTATAATAGATATTAACTTTTATCTGGACAGAAATCTTTTACTGGAAAGTTTTCTGAAGCCAAGATGGCTTCCCTCAGTCTGCTGAGCTGCTGCACTTCTTCCTCCAGCAGGATTTTCTCCAGGCTCAGCTGATTCGTCTGGTTCTCCAAGTTTCCTCTTTCCTCTGTTAGTTCTTCTGTTCGGTTCTCCAGGCTTCTCACCTTCCCCACCTGTTGCCTGAGCTCTTCCTGCTGTTTCCCCAGCTCAACACCCACTGCGCAAGAAAGACAGTCAGTCAGTCTGTTGCAGGTTCATCCACTCTAACTAAAAAACTTTCATTTTCATGTCATTAATGTTCTGTTTCGAAATGAGCAAAATAGGAGAAAAACAGAAAAAAAAACTAAAAATGTAAATTTTCTTTTCAAGAAGATAGATGAACAGATTGAAATAAATGGTTGGATGTAACAGGCAGGATGGATTTACTTTAACTAGACCCAATCCATGACTGAGGTCATCAGATTCAACAATTAATCTGGAATAATCTGAGTTAAGTGAAGAAAACTGAAACGTACTCCAGCTGATGATGCCGATGCTGGTCAGCAGGAGGAGGCAGAGCATCAGCAGCCACAGCAGGAACCAACCAGAGGATTTGGCTCCTTCACTGTCTGCAGAGAGAGAAACTGTCAGCGTCACGGGAAATATTTTGTCTGTAAAAAATGAAACTATCGACATTATTTATGCACATTTCATGATGTGAAAATACTTGATTTATCAACTTTTATTCTCTTTTATCAGAAATTTTAATATTTACAGGAAAAAAACCCTAATGATAGCAAAATATTTGCAAAAATAGCATCTATGAGTTTTTAAATTTCCAACCAATGTCCTAAAAACAACCAAAGTCAGACGTTTTAGCTAGAGATAACAGTAAATGTAATAATGTCCAAAATATTTAAAATAATAAAATGAAACAGGTATGTATAAGTATTAATTAATCTGCCTGTAAAATATTTGACTGATTTACTGGTCAGGATATAAAGATTGTCAGGATTTTATGACTCACATGAAGCATTAGTGGCAGGTTCTGGAGGAGGTCCAACAGCGTCTCGCTTCTCCTCTGAATGAAAGAAAGAAAAGAAAAGCAGAGAATTTCACATTTTTGAACAACTGTAACAGTAAACTTGTTTAAATAAAATAAATACCTCTGACTGTCTTCATAAAATAGATGTAATAAACATGGAAGCATCTGGTAGCGTTAGCATAGAGCAAAAACCTGCAAATGTTTTGTTAGGAACCTGAGAGATGAATGTTTATGATCAGATTTCCCTCTGAAATGTGTTGAGCTTTCCAGTGTTTGCAAATGTTCTAATAAGATACTTTGTGTTAGCATGATTTTATTTACGAATGTTTAAAAAGGAATTGTTTCCATACCACAGATATTTATGAATAATAATTATCACTTTACAGCATTGCTGTCATTCAGGGTTTGGTTTGTTGCTGATTTTTATAGAGAAAAGTTAAAGAAGTGATCAGTTGAAAATGAATGAAATACCAAAGTCACCATAGTTTTGTGTTTTCATGAAAAAAACTTGTTTTTTATTCTGCATTTTGGTCATTTCTGACCTTAAAGTCATTTACCTCCAGGTGTTTTCATTTCTGTAGCTGTAATTATTTGTTTCTAAAGTTCTGATCTGGTGATAAACTGGATTGTTTCAAAATGTGAACCTTCACTTCCTGTGTGTGAAAAAGGGGAAATGAGGAAATGTTTTCTTCCTCACTGTTGTTGCTTTATGCTGAAAATAACTTCCTGTCTCACATTTGTTTTTAAGAAACAGCAAAATTAAAGGTGAAAATATCAACTTCTGGAAATCTCAATAAGACTGTTAAATCTACAGAATATTTTTTTAGTGTTTTAAAGCTATCTGCATAATCAACAAATGAAATTATTTAACTGGTAGAAAAAATATTTAAATGACTGTTTTTATATTTAAGTTATTTAACCGTTTGTTTTCTCATATTGTAGTGATTTCTTTAAGACTGTTTAGAATTTTGTAGGTTTTCAGCTTCATTAAAATTTGTGTTTTTGCAAAACTGCAATGGAGGCATGAGTCAGTTTTAACTGCAAGAAGTTACTACTGGAGGAAATGATGAAGAAACGACAGGAAGTGGTTGGAGGATGATGTGCTAATTGTTTCTTTAATGTCTCTTCGTCTGAACAAACTTATTTATGAGAGATTTTAATCACATTTTCTTTTGTAATGGAAACACGGAAACTGAGAAATAGTTTTTTTTAGCATTAGCAGAATATTAATAAAGTTAATCTGTCTGTAAATATAATACTTTCATATTATTTTTATTTTGTTTCATTGTTTTTCTCTGATTTAACAGAATTGATGAATTGAAGGTGTTTCTATCCTTTAACTCAATGTTAACATATTCCAGGTAATTTGGAAATCATAGCAAGTAAAGAAACCATAAAGCAAACAAATTCAGGTTCTTTAAAAAATAAATATTTCCAATTTTCTGCCTGCAATGAATTTAATTTTAAGGAGCTTCTTACCTTTTGGGGTTTCTGGTAATTTTCATAAATCGGACCATAAAAATTGTCCACAACTCTCTCTGGAAGTTGAGGGAAGAAAAACTTTCAGAAACAAAAAAACTTAAGGAACAAAATCCATTGAAAGAAAAATTTTATACACAATTTAATATTTTAAATATTTAGAAAGAAGAAACGAATGCAAAAATGAAAAAAGCTGAATATTCTAGGAGCTTTACAAATAAAACATCTACAAACTGAACTAATCAAAAAAGTAATCAATTATCAATAATGTAACATTTCTCATCTTTAACTAAAGCAGGTCATGAACTGTTTGAACCAGGAGTTTCTTACCTTTGCCGAGTTTTTTCACATTGGTATAAATATCAGCTGAAGACATTTCCACAGACATGATTAAAACAAACAACAGACTCTGGATGAGTTAAAGCTGCAGCAGAAATTTGTGTTTATTGTTTGTGACCAGAACTTCCTGTTCCTCTGTGTGCAAAGACCCAACTTCTGAAATGTCATCATGATAAACAGAAGAAACTTTATGTTGTTGTTTGGAGTTTCAGGGAAAACGGACATTATTATTATCAAAAAAATGAACCATGAAAAATCACAATGGTAACACGTAAAGCACAAACCAGGCAATGTTTATTATGAACTTTATTTCTGCTTTCAGCAAATATGAAGATAAAACGAGCAAAGCACAAGTCAAAACATGAAGCCATTTTTGATCAGGTTGAGTTGAACAGATTGTCTCTGATTTGGTTTTATAACCAGAAAATAAACTTTTATTAAACATATTCAATAACTAATTGATGTCTTAAGCAGAAAACGTTAAAGTATTGATCCAGTTTGTCTGAAACTCTATTTATAATCAATTACCTGGAAGATGGAAAACAAAAGCTTTAAAAATGAATAAAAGACAGAAAACAAAACAAAAGGCAGAACTTTCTAAATGAAATAATACAATATTATACAACAATATATTTTAATACGTATAGAAAAGAAAATGTGATTTGTGTTTGATTATTTCAGATTATTATTAACATCAGAATATATGATTCTAGAAATACTTTTTAAAATATTGAAACATTAATCAAGATGAAAACTAACTCATACTTGAGGCAAAGTATTTCTGTAATTCCAATGAAGTTATATTTCTGCAGGCGTCATGAAGCTTCTGCTGAGTTTCAGTCTAACAGCTGAAGGCGTTTCCAAACAGAGATGATGGAGTGAATAACGTCTCTGAGGATTTCCACCATGTTATCACCGTGGCATGCGGACCCGAAAACCAAACCACTCCGGTCATCCAGAACCTGACCGGCAGAAAGCAGAAGCTGTTATCATTTATTTTAACTGGTTCCGTCAAAACTCCTATTAAATCTGAACTCAGACGTTGAATAAAGACAGAAGCTTTTTTTTCATTGAATCAGATTAAACATTTCCTGTTTCAGATCAGGCAGAAGCACCAACATTATTCATTATTTCTTTGATTAGACTGACATCAGGACCTCAAAGCTGCAGAATCTGACTATTATTTTAAATAATTTATGTTTTCTATGTATTTGTTAAAACTGTGCCAGTATGAGCCTGATAATCATAGAAAAGATCAACATCTTCAGCCTCCGCTCTGCGCTGCTCTTTCTGTCTGACGAAATGCGCCTCACCTGATCAAAACCAGCCAATCAGGAGGAACGTCTTAGCGCTGTCAATCAATCTCATGCACCTGCTGCTAAAAGTCCTAACTTAGGAAAACTGTTTAGCTGCCGTCATTGATGGCCATGCTAGCTAGCCTTAGCATTCACAACGGATGCTAGCTGCAGTGTCTTTTACACTGACCCTAATACACCATGTACATAATCCAGACTGTAATCTGGTTTAAAGAACAAAACCTTATAATTATAAAACAGTCGCTATATTTTTTTATGTTTTAGAAAGATTTCTCACCCAAGACTTTCATTACGCCCATCGATCCAGAGCCAGTTGTTGTTGGTTTGGCTCAACGAGCAGAAATTCATCTCCTGGTTCCTGGCAGGACTCTGGAAAATAAAACGTCCCAGAAGTTTGAATTTTCTGTGCCGGCCTGAAAAGCTGAGGCCGCAGCCCTGAAAGGTCACCTGAACTTTGCCATCATCTACGATCACCAGGTCCGCGGACGTGTTTTCACAGTACAGTCGGGTTCCTTTCACCGAATTCTGGGCTGAGCTTTGGCCGTCAAACTTCTCCAGGAAACTCGCCCAACCCTTCTGGCACGGCAGACAATCTGCAGGCAAAGAGAAACACGGGAAAACAAATGTGTTTTACCAACAAACTCAAGAGTTTCAGGATGACTACCAAGAAGAAAAAAAATAATAATAATATTTTATTCGATAAACTGATAATAATATAAACAGAATTCATTAATTGATTTGTGGTGACTAGTTACTAAGTTTCTGTCGTGACTCAAACTGCCTTCACATCGGTCAGTAACAGTTAGCTTAGCACACACCAACATGTTTTGGCTAGAAAACTTTTTGAAATACTTTATTATCACCTACAAACTCCTTAATCAATTATGATTTTATTAAACAAATGCACCTGAAGCTATTATATAGTAATAACAGTTTTTTATTTGCCACAACTGTATGTTCCAGCAGTTATAATGCTGTTAACGTCTTATTTAGGCATATTACTGATTTTAATCCAGACAGATTCATCTAGATAGGGTCAAATTAATCAATAATCAGCTAATAAATTCTGATTAGAAAATGCTGAAAGCTGTTATGAGAAATCCAAGTTCTTAAAAGCTCATGAATGTTTTCTTGTGTGTCTCTTACAGAATATGAACAATTATTCTGTTCACATATTTAATACTGATGCAAACTTTTTCTCTGAATTTTACGTACGCATCTCATTAAAATACAATATTTTAATTTATTAAAATAATTCAGGTGAAAAATATATTTAGAATCATTTACCGGTTATTTAGGTTATTTCAAACCTAGATATAGATTCTAAATTAATGGATATGTTATTTATTTTAGCTAAATTACCATTATGGTGGAAAACTCACTTTTGTCTGGGCAGAACTGGTTCACTGGGAAGTTGTCGTACGTGAGGATGACCTGCAGCGCCCTCTTCAGGTCGTCCCGCTCCCCGATCAGCTGCCCTGTCACGTACTCCAGAAGACTCTTTTTAATATTCAGACGCTTGTTCTCTTTCTTCAGGTCGTCCATCTTTCCCTTATGGCTCATCATGTCGATGCTGACTTTAACAAAAGGACACAACATGAGACACCAGGGCCGGCCTCAAGGAATCAGGGGCCCCGGGCAGAATTGGACTCAGGGCCCCCTCCACTTGCAGAAGTTGTCGCCTCCGCCAGCAGCAGAGTAGCCAAAAAAAGAGAAGCTCTGCATATTTAACTCAAGAAAAAATAAAAATTTGCCATCAAAAAAATAAAAGACAAATCTACTCAAATACTGAGTAACTGATCAAATGATCAATCATTTAACATTTAAGAATCACATCATTAAACTGACTAAAATATAAAGTTAAATGGAATGTTTGGTGTAAAAAGGACAAAAATAACAATAATTTA